TTCTGCTGCTGTTTAGTTCCTTCAGTTTTTGCTTTGTTCTTATGCTCCACAGATGAGTGAAATCATTTGGTACTTGTCTTTTTCCGCCTGGTCAAAGCACTAGTTTTTAAGTGCATCCCCCTGCGTCCATGAGCACAGCGGAGGTGGCAGAGCCCTCCCCCAGCCCTGCTCAGGCTGAATGTCCTTTTCATCTGCTCAGGAAGGCGTGTCTGCCATCAGCCCCATTTTATAGATGAGGAAACTGAAGCCCGAGGAGGCTGAGAAACTCGTCCAGGGTCATACATTTAGCAACTTGCCGAGGGAAGGTGGAACCCAGTCAGCTGATGCCTGAGCCCAGGTTCCAAACCACTTTGCTCGGTGGTTTCAGTGTCCGCATGAGAAACAGAGAGGCAGACACGCTTGTCTTTCTGAGGAAAACCTCGCCACAGCGGCTCTGATGGTCACACAGCCGTTACCACCAAGGCCTGTTCTGTGACCTAGAACCCACGGCACAGTCCTCGGCAGCCCTTCCAGCCCCCTTCCCCTCTCCCCTCACTGTGCCCTCACACACAGTGTCCCTTCTGCTTGTCCGTCTGGGGTCCAGCCTCGGTCAGCCACAGCCCAGCAGAGGCACTGCAAATCCCCGAGAGGTGAACATCTGCTTAGCCCTGAGTGGATCAGACACGAGAAAGGTCAGGCAGCCAGGAAAGCTGAAAGCCCCTAAAAGTGTAAAGGTGATTGACTCCCACAGAGATTAATTTTAATCAATTATTAAGCAATAACTTAATATTTTAAGAGTTTGTTCAATCACAGAGAAATGAAAGCATGTCATGATTTTCTTCCCTTGTATGTTCCAACATAAAAACCGTACCTGTGGTGACATAGATTTCTGAAAAACCCTTTCTATTGAAACAACTGGATGTCTTTATCTTTAACTTTAAAACTTCTGTATGCCCCACACAGCCTGGCCTGATGGGAGCCTGAGAGGGGCTGAGTGCTGACCGCCTGGCATTCGAGCACCAGCTCTGTTCAAGGGACCTCAGGAAACACCACCATGTCCTTAAGTCTCCCCGGCTTACAGTCCCAAGCCCTCCCGGCGGGCCCCACGGCAGAGACTGGTGTCTGCTCCTCTGGCCGTCACTGGCCGTCCTCCAAAGGTCTGGACCCCTCCCCTCCCCCTCCCTGCTCCCCAAGCCCTGCCTTTACCATCAGGAACTGGGAGCAGCAGACAGAGGGCAGCAGGAAAAGAGGATTCGAGCACACTGCCACCTATGCGACCAACCCCAAAATAAGAGAGGTAGAGGTGACTCAGCTCCCATTTTTATTCTTTGTATGATTCCCCTTTGAACTCTGATTTGATGTGCCTTTTCCCACCCATCCGTGCATCCACCTGCCCCACCCACCCACTCATACTCATCCGTCCATCGAGCCACCCATCCATGCACCCAGCCAGCCATTCATGCAACAACACGTGCCAGGCTCCAAGTCAGGCGCACCAGACAGTCACTCTCTGAAGGGAGACAGACCTGGAATCCTACCTGCCATCCAGGATGCTGGGTGCTAGACCGAAATGTCCCCAAGGTATGCTGGGCATACAAGGAGAGTGGCCCCTGCTTGGGGCACGTGGGGCTCACAGGGAAGGGCCTTGGAGCCCCGCTGAAGAAAACCAGAAGGGGTGTAGAGACGCTGCTCCTGGCAAAGGGACCAACCCTGAGCTGCGAGCCCCCGGAGCCCCATATGGCTCGTGCGTCCCTGTCTCAGCACACTGCCCCCCAACATCCAGCTTCCCGCCCTGTCAAACAAGGACACGCCACACATTCTCTTGGGGCCCGCAGGGCAGGGAGCACTTTGAAGTGGTCTGTGTGTTGGGCAGACCCCAGCATCTCCTGCCGCCCCACCTCCCAAGGGGAGGGCATATGGGGGGGAGGTTCAAGGCCGGAGCCCTCGCTGGGGATGACTCAGGCTCATTTGTCGAATCTAGATCATGCCGTGTCCTAATTAGCACAGACCTTCAAGGTTGCACTGCATTTGCAAAGTTTCCGAAATGGGCCAGTGCCTTCCACCTGCCTCAGCCTCCCGGCCCGGAGTTCCCCTCCCGGCCGCTGCCCCACCGCGTCCCCCCATGTGGAAGTCCCGCACCACAGCAGCAGCAGAGCCAGCTTTCGGCCCACCGACCACGGGCATTTTATAACGGATTTACTTCCACAAAATTCACTGGTGACCGACACGCCCAGGAACGGAGCCGCTCTAGGCCACAATTCTGTCATTGTCACGTACGGGTTGTTCTCAGGGGGCGGCACCCAGGAGCAAGGGCCTGACATGAAGCAGGAGCCTCAACCCCAAGAACACACTGGTAGGGCCAGGGCCCAGCCTTCCCTATATTCTTGGGGGGTTCAGTAACAGGGTTTGCTTTAACTCCTCAGTCAGGAGCCGTGTGTATCCTAAAGACAATACATAAAATATTTATGAAGAGAATATCTATTTTTAAGTAGGGATGATTTCAGTTCTATAATTCATGCAGCCTCGAGGGCAGGCTTCATGCTTACTGGCAGGAGCTGGGAGACACAGAGGAGGCAGATCTGAGATCAGGGGCAGGGACCTGGGTGAGGGCAGGGGGCCTCCCCAGCAGGGGTGGGCACCCCATGTCGCCCACCTGATTATAGCCACAGGCCCACGTTCAGGAACGCTGTCTGCGGCAGCTGGCCAAAGCTTTGGCCTCTTTTTAAACACAAAGTTATCTGTGCCCCTGGCCAGTCCTCGAGAGACTCCTAGCGGGGAGATGCCCGGGGCCTCACGGGAGTTGTGGAACACGGCCCCTGGCAGCCGGCGAGCCCGGGGCAAACCTACCAAGAGAGACAGGCGCCTGCTCCTGCGGCAGCCCTGTGCTCACAGTGTTTTGAAAAACAGGCCGTAACCCGTCAGAGCCCAACAAGAACACGCTCAGCCAGCGGCTGGGCCGGCAAAGGTGCCACGGCAGCGACCTTCCGCTCCCCCAAGATTCCTGGATACAAAGCTGCTGAACATCTGATCACCCCAGAGCAGGAAGATGCCTCCCACACATGCCATGCAGTGAAGGACAGGGTGCTGGGGTCAGCAGACAGAGATGGAGTCCCAAGTCCCCCTGCACCAGCTCTGGGACCCTGTCCAATCCCTTAACCCCTCTCAGCCTCAGTGTCCCCTTCCATGAATGTGGACCCTAAAACAGGGGCCTCGGAGGTGTCCCAGCTCACAGCAGATGTTCCCACTGGGTGCTGGCCCAGACCAGCACATACTCGGTACCCAGGCAGTAAGTGACAGTGGACACAGATACCTGGGGGCAGCTGGCTGCTCAGACGACCCGTTCCTCCGCGGGGTGGGTAAGGAAGCGGCGAGAGAGGGAGGGGGATGGACGACAAATGGCTGTTCTCATTCGAGCAGGGCCTATGTTGACGTGTTCTTCCATTTAAACCCGGAAGTCTCTGTACTTTCACTGTTGCTACCCCTTTGCAGAAGAGGGCCTGGGTCCCAGAAACCCTTCCAGTGTCCCCCACATGCAGACACAGCGTCAGAGGGCAGGCTCCCCTACTCTGGAGTCACCTAGGCATCCAGGGTGCCCGCCAGGGCCTCACTGGTCTCTGGGGCACAGGGCGGGGAGCTGCCTACCCAGACCACCCTTGAGAAGCACACGCTGTGCCAGGCACCCCTTGCACCTGCTCCAGGCTCCGTGCCACCCTGAACTGGGGTGGAATCTGAGCTGGGCATGAGATCTGGAAGCAGGAAGTTGTGATGCCCAGGGTTTAAAGATCATCAGAGCCACACATTCAGAGATGGAAGGCGGCACGGGACGACTGAGCTGGTGCCAGAGGGTCCCTGCAAAACCCAATCACGATGCGTGCTGTGAAGGCCATGTCCTCGGGCTGTGGGGAAGGTCGCCAGGTCAGAGTGGCTGTGTCTGCCTCCCACTGGGACGCTGGCCTGCATCTGGTGCTCTACGCACAGACCCTGGGCAGGCTTGCTGCCGTTTCCGAGGGCCCGTGACTCCTCAGTGGAGAGGAAGTGGGTGTGGAGACACCTGCCCTGTTCTCCTCACTGGCTGCCCTCTGCCCCTTGTCCCGCCCCTCCCTCCCTCTGACCCCTGACCTCTGCCCCTGCGGCCCGCTTCTCCCTCCCTCTGCCCCCTGCCACTTCCACTCACCCCCCTGGGAAGCTCACAGCTCAAGTAAACCCCAGATGTGGGAATGTCACATTACCCACCTCAGCCTGGCCTTGCTCTCAAATTCGGGACCACTCCCAGCCCCCACGTCATGGGGCAAAGCCCAGCACCGGAAGCAAAGCCCCTCCTCCGCTCTCTCTCTTCAGTGGGGGCTCCTCACGGGGTCCTGCCTGCTGCACCCTTTGACTCTGCAGCCGGACGCTCGCCCTGCTTCCAGCCCAGCAGCTCCCAGGAGTTCTCACCCAAAAGTGTCACCCTGCTTTGGGACGCATGGTCACATTTAATA